CGTATTCTATTTCTTTTTTCTCGCTTGGTTTTCTATCCTTTTTTTTTCCTTTCTTACGTATTCACGGCGCATAAGAACTAGTTTTGCTGAACGATAGCGTTCATGGTGAATTACCTTCAAGGTCAATAGAATTAGAATGCAGCAACAAGACAAGATCAGGTCAGGGATTCTGGTTCGATGGATGTTGTTTGCCAATTCCAGCCAAATCTCAACGAAACTTTCCCCGTGTATTTTTATACCCAGCAAACTTTTTATTTGACTGCAGGCGATAATTAAGCTTGCCGCAGACGTGAATCCAGAGACGACCGGTATGGAAACGAACTCGACAAGGAAACCCAGCCGAAGAATTCCAAAAACTATCGTGACGCATCCTGATAAAAAACACAAGAGGATTGCGTAATCTGGAATACCCCTGGAACACGATCGAAATGAAAAGAGGAGTTAGACATTAGGAACGGAAAGAAGTAATTTGACCATATGTTTCCGGAATCAAAGATAACGAACGATCGAACGAGGCTTTTGATTCGTTCGTTCAAAAGCCAAGAGTATTTTTGACTATTATTAGTGCGATAAAAAATATTAGAAGTAGATGGTTCTTGGAAGAGAAGTCTTGAAACGAGACTAAAGAAGACTAAAGAAAGAATTGCGCAAATTAATACACAATATATTCTCGCGATAATCGAGTTTCAAAAGAGTGGCAACGTCTTTTCAACTGTCATTATCGTATCACGAGATCCAATTGTCCGCTATAATGTTCGCGAATTTAACCACTGTACGAGCAGATTAAGGCTATTCTATTCACAAGTCTTCGAGTCTTAAATTAAATCTAAAGGAATCGTGTTTTCGCGAGAAACTTCTAACGGCTTACCTCGCGTATGTGTACGTTAGCAAAGAGATCAATGCAGTCGGTCCAATATTGACTTCTCGACAGGTACCAAAAATTATGTAAACGAAACTGCCAGCAAACGCGCTGTAAAGGCCATATTGCGGCGTCAAACCTGCCAGCCCAGCGTATGCGATCGCCTGAAATTACAAATTGCATCGAATGCAATTGATCCGATCGAATTGGATCATACGATTGGTAACATTCAATTTCACGGATATAAAGTCGTGAATCTAGGAAAATACCTGTGGTATCAGGGTCAGACCTACTGTCAATCCCGCAACCAGGTCACCCAATGCGTCCTTCGTTTTGTACAGCGGTAACCATTTTAAGATAGGAATTTTCTCCTTCAATAACTTTTTAAAGCTAAACCCGGTCATTTCACTAAAATTTCTTTCTCACCTTCACTAACGAATCCTTTTTTTCGACAGTTTCAGCACATCGTGTCAACTTGAAATTCTGAAAATATAACACGATCCAATGATCTGAACGAAGGAAGAACTTCGATTTCAAGTTTCAATCGACAGATCGTCATAATTCATCGGCCTGTCCTCTTAATATGCGAGCTGCATCGCCTCATTAACTGGCATCGCAATCGTCGTCTTCAATGTCTCGCCGATGAAACAACAAGCCGGCAATTAACGAATTTTTCGAGCGACAATTAGTAAGTGATTTTACGCGCGAGAACACGATTTAACGTCACTAACTGAGCGGTGGTCACGTGTGATCGTTTGAGCACGTGATTTTCCAGTTTTCCTCCTCGACAGTTATCGCGGAAATCGTACGTTAATATCTCACTGTACCGTTCATTATAACAGTTTTCAAATTCCAGTTTCACTTTCATCTGTCACTGAAGAAAGTTATCGCAAGGAATAACCGCGATGAACCAGTTTGTGAACCAACGCAACGAGGACTCGAAGGAATCACGATGAAGAAATGAAGAAATATCGGTGGACGAAACGTTTGTTGGACGAAAGAAGATTAACGATTGATGCGGTACCTCGTACCTGCTCTACACACTGATTAAATCTACAGCTGTTTCACACGTGCCTCGTTTCCCCACTACTCTTTGAAATGTCAGGATGCGAACGCATGCGTCAGTCCTTCCCTAAATGGATACTGGGTTCGGCAAGATTATTATGTTCGTTAATTAACCGAACAACAACCGAATCTTTTTTTCAACCGACTCGTATACAAATTTTCAACATTTTCGATTCTATCGATTCATTTAACGTTTTTTATCTTATACCTTGACTTACACACTTCTCGCATCCTGTCTTTTCATATCATTATGTTCATTATTATTTCGTTCTTTAACTAATTAGTAAAGTTAAAATTGTAGGGAACATGTTGCAATTTTTGTTTATTTCTTTTATTAATTATGTTTCGTTTGATAATAGATACGAATGAATCGAGCAACAAGTTGCTGTCATTATATGTATTTTGTTTATGGAATGGAATTAAGCATGATCAACAATGTAATCTTACAATTTTTAAACACGTATTAACATAGAATAATCATATAAATTTTTCGTTAGGAATTCTATTCTTCGTATTATAGATTAAATAAAAATTCGTGCATGGTCTTGTATTTTTAACTTAATAATTGTAATATGCATCATTTATTATTATTAATAAAAACGTAAGATTTAGATTAAAAAAATTGATATTACATAGATAACAATTTTGCACTACGATTATTTCACACTGCGTCAAATCTCATCTCGTATCATTTCGCACTGTGTTAATTTCATCTGTATCATTAGATGCGAAGTCTCAAAAAGATTGCATCGTTGACCTGCATCAATTTTTAATCTTAAAATAAGAAAAATTTGCACGAACGATAAAAGTGATTATGACACTTGGCGTGACTATGCCTCTACAATTACGCTCGTAACGTAACGCGCCAATAATGAATAAATGTTTATGAAAAGTGTATCGGTGTGCATTTTATACAGAAACAAAAGAACAGCGTGTTGGTAGAAACAACGGACTCACCACGGATACTCGATTGTTCCAGCACTGGATTCCTTTGGTGGATTATCGTGGAATGTGTCAATTGCTTCGACGACGTATACGTTCCGCTACACTTTTCTTTCTCATTCGAATCCTTTTTAACGGTGAACTTCTTGTTCCAAGAGAATGGTTGAAATTCTTATCGTCGTATGCCGAACATCGTGTACATGACTGTAATTACAAGGACGTCGCGTGGTCTTGAACGACTATGTGTTTTGCATGTTAACGGAGCAAGCGTAACGATGAATCCGTGAAAGTAAATCAGAAATTATTGTTGTTTGATGAAAATTTGCCATGAAATTTTTTTCATTTCGAATCGAAGATGGTGTAAGTAAAAAATATGGTTGAACACGATAGAAAAGAATGTAAAGAGTATGAAAAAAATTGCAATCGTGTTAGTTTTATCCGCACTAATGAATATTAAAGAATAGCGGAATATGTAAAACGCGGCGTAATTATTTGTTTGAATAGTGTGTTCAAACATCGCGAACAAGATCATTTTTCACGGAAGGCAATAAATCTATTCTCATATTGACGTTTTATTGAAAAATAACGTCAAAAAGAGAGAAAAATTGATGGATTACATTCGCGACTTGAGCATTCGATGTACATCTAATACTAAAAATAAAAATTGTATTTTATTAGTTTTTACTTGACGTGTTTAACGATAAGCTTTCAATATCGTCCTATTGTTAATTGTCTTGTTGTAAAAACAATATTTTCGAAATGAAAGTGTATATCTCTAAAATGATCGATAAAAGTTTAAATCAGATAGCATTTTTAAAAATATCACGATATATGTTACTTATTTATACAATAACTAATAATTGAAATTTGAGTATAATATTAACTCTTCAAGAGAATTGCAAACAAAATGATTTGTGATTATTTTTACACCTATGTAAAGAAAATGTAAATCATAATTTATTATATTTGGTCAGTTTAATATTATTTTTATATTTTTAGAAAACACTTTACATTATCACTTAGTAATACGATGTATTATTTATCGTTTTGATTGATTAGATGTGAAAATTTTCAGTTGCTCTAGCTCGTTAATTTTCTAGTGTTACTGTTTCGTTTGATTTAGACTTATACGTGTCTACTTGTTTGCTCATTGTCTTAGACTATGTTTGTATTCCTCGTTATTTACAAAAATAATTAGGCGTTTTAAAAATACTTATCATTCATAGATTAAACATGCAAATAGAAATTGAACTAATCGCTCCAAAGATATAAATAGTGTAATTAATAATATTTCAATAATCTTTTATTTCAGTATTATTCAGTTAGTATTATAAAATAAAATACTAGTAAAGACAATCATCAGGTATCATCAGGTAAAAAAATTCAATGATTGGAAAATTTTAATGATAAGTCATTTAAGTTTAATCAATAAAAGAGCTATTCTCAGAAATAATAGAGAAACTCGATTGCAATCGATTAACGAATGAAAAACACAGAATTTTTTAAAATAATTATTTTTACTCGTTATTTCATTTTCAATTGTATGAAAATATTTTTGACAACGATATGTTTATTGAGATTTATTGATACTACAATATTGAATTTAAAAAATGATTTAATCCAGGACCAAATGGAAAATTTTTTGGAGAATTTGATTATTTACAATTTATCTCTTCTAACGTGCTAAAATGATTCTAGACGATCAATGTGAATTTCGCTAACGAAGTAAAATTATAATTTTCGAACATAGTTATCAAAAAAAAAAAAAAAATAGTTGGAAAATTTATAATGGGATTTTCATATAATTTACTTTTAATTTTAAAGAATAATATGTGGTTCAATGTTCAAAATTGTTCAATAAAAACAGTGATATTACAATATATTTCAACAATGACAATCGGCATATTTATTTTATTTTACTTTGAAATATTGTAAAAAATAATATTTTGCTCATATATAGACGATTGAAAGTTGCAATACCAGTATTGTATTAAGCAATATTTTATATGCTAATTCTAATTTGATGATATTCAGATGTTGCGCTGTTAGATAGGCGACGACTTTCAGTTAGTAAAAGTTTCTAATTAATTGAGTATTAATAAAATTTTACATTAAAAAATAGAATTCAAAACATTTCCACAACATGTATTATTTATATACTTTTACTAAATCATAATTTTTTTAAAACGTGTCCACTAATAATAATATTAATAGGATTAGAATTAAAGGAATTAGATAAGAAACACAGATGAAAATAAAAATAATAATATTATTAAAATCAAATTATAATATCGATTAATTTTTTTAATAGGAATATAAAATAATAGTAAATCTATTATAGATAAAGGCAACTAGAAAAATATACTGATGTCATCAATATTTTTCTGTTATAATAATGTTACAAATATCAACAATATATAAGAATTTAAATGTTTAACACACTCTTAAATTTGCATTTATTTAAGAATTTGTATTTATATATTTAATTTAAATGTTATGTCATATGATTGTATGTCATATGAATAAATGAAAAAAAAAAATAGTTTTTTGAAAAAATATATTTAAAATTTTAAATATATTTAAAAAAAAAAAAGAAGAAAACGAAAGAAAAACAAATAGAGAAATTTATTTGTATGTATGTAAATTTGTATGTAATTCTTAAAAAAAATTTGTTCTATTAATATTCATAATCATTCAATTAATATTAATTGAAATATTATAAAAATATATATTAAATTTTAAGAAATAATTTAAAATTAGATCGAAATGTAAATAACTCTTCCACGTTTAGCGACATGCGACACTATAACCACCTAGCGGTGAAAATATGGAACTAAAATTATAAGGAAAAGGACATTGTGGCGCCATCTAAACGCAA